AGTTTCTTGAAATGACACAGGCCAATTTCAAGGCATTTAGATTTGTTTTGGATATATGAAGGTTTTTTTATAACATCTGAAAGTAACATAGTTACTTGATTGGTGTATGGAATTGATCTATGTTTCTGAAGAGTATATAATACCCCCCACACCCTTTAAATCAGCTCTGTTTGAATACATTCACTCTGAAGTATGCGCAATAAAAATGTTAACCCCGTGAAATATAAATTTTGACTGATAAGCATGAATCTGTGGGGAACTTGCTTTTGACAGTTCCCACATTTAAATACATAACGGGACTAAAATGAACGCGAAAGAAAAAACATTACTCACATTAAGGAGGACGTTAAATTCTTGTTGTAACATATTCTTCAGCTCTCTCTTGTTCAGCTTGTACTTGTCGCCTTCTCTTCCTGAATAGAAGTAGAAAACTTGATCAGGTCCTCCATAGCTCTTGGCAGGAGAAAAGACATTCTGTAGTCCTGTGAGAAAAAAAAAACAGAAAGACATTATTAATAATGCTGCCACAAACATTTTGAGTTTGACAAAACAACACTTATTAGAAATAATTGTACTTCTACAAAATTACACAAGCTGATTAGTCACATTTTGATATTAGAAAAAAAGCTCAAACTTTCCACAAAATAGCAACAGCAGAGCAGAGTAAATATTTGCATTATTCAATGGAATACGCAAGTCTCACCTTTTGCTTTTCATTTGAACAAGAAGGATCAGAAAATAAAAAGTAACACTCTCAACTTTACATATTTCCCGCTCTCTGATACCTGAGAAGTAAATGCAGGGGTGCAGAGTCGTTTAACTCTCCACCTATGCAGAGGATAAAGGTCTGCTCCCCTGGATGGCAGCTTGCACTTAAAGCAGGTTTGAATTATGGCATCCTTATGTTACATAATCAACCTGATGCCTTAAAATACAGGACTGACTCTAAACAAGTTGGTTATGCAGATCACCTTATTGTTTGCAGTAGTTTTACTTAACCATCTATGTGGTGCATTCAGGGAGCACAACCTTTAGAATGACAAATGCAAGGCTGGTGCTAATTAACTGTTTCCAAAAAATTGTACTAAAACCACATACTGCAGCTCATGAAATAACACAAAGAAGGCCGATACTCACCTGGACAGTGACTCTAACAGGTATAGGTAGGGTTGATTCAGATAGACTCTCAGCTCGTGAGTTATGTGGGCTGAGGTGAGCAAACAAACCTGGATCAGGTAGGCACGTTCCACTGGTTAGGAGCAATGTCAACTGCTGCAGCAGTGAGCTGCAGGTCATGTAAGGCAGTCACCTTCTTTCCAACAAGCTGACAAACTCTCTGCCCTTTTTTTTGCATTATACTCAATATGAAAAATACTTTTACTACAGCGACCATGAGTATTTTCACTTGGGTTGTCTCAACAGTGCAAACAGAAACATGTAACAACAACAGAATTATACAGTTATATWTAACATCATTATTTTCATTTTAAAAAAATCAACACATGAAAAGTCCTAAAACGAGATTAAATTTAAAGAGATTAAACAGTTACAATAAATTATACAATAATACACAATATTACACGCTGACCTGGGCTTCTGCACACTTTAAAGTGCCAAATATGTAGAGGAAGAGGACTGTAACAGTTTTCATAGTACCCTCAATGCAGAAAGATGAATCAGGTTTAACTGGTCATTCATACAGAGAGTTACAACAAGAAAACATATTCCTCCTGGAATGAAAAGAACTTTTAGAGGCACTCCAACAAAGAATGAGTATGAGTTGACAGTAAAGTCTCACCTGCAGAAAGTTTTCATTTGAAAGTCTGCACTTTCAGACACAGAGAGTGAATTATTTTAAAGTTCTGTACATGAGAAGTATGATTTAGTCATACACATGTGTTAAAAATAACAAACATTTAAATTTTCTGTGACATGAAAAAGCTAAAGGGTTTGTGTTTGATATGATTTGCACTGGATTTCTAATACACCCAAAATCTGCACCTTCATAAATAAACAGAAAAAAAACCTCTGTGTCTTTAAATTTTATCTCCTAATAAAGAGATGCTGAACACTCCTGGACAAAATGGGATTATAATAAGGGAAGCAGGTTTGCGCTGTAAATGGGAGCCTGGGAGGGATCAGACACAGCAGACTTGATGTTTTCAGGAAGTGTATGTTTTGATATTGATAATACATGTCTTATCATTGAAAAACAATCTAAACACAAGATTATGTGTGACATTGTAGGGGATTGATAGTTAAAAAATAATTTTCTTGGCTATTTAAACACATTTACTGGTTTGTAAGACCTCATTTTGTAATAACAGCGTATTATGTAATAATGTAATAAAATCAGGCTTCAAAATGTAATAAACACATGCTAAAACTGCATAATGTAATAATTGACACAAAATGTAATAAAAGTCTTTAGCACATTAAATAATAACATTATTACATTTTGCGGCAATTGTTGATGGTGTAATAATCTGGTGCATTATGTAATAAATAATCAAAAACCAGTATTTCTGTTCATCCTAATCAATWTACTTGTAATAATTGTCATGTTGCAAATAATACATAATTAAATTTTTATTACTTTGGTCAATAAACACAGAAATTTTCATCTTTTATTTGCATTTTCAGTCAAATTTTTGTGTTTATGAATGTATAAAGCAATCTCACGGATTTTTTTTATGTTTTATGGAATCTTTCAAAAACTTACCGTAGCTTCTAATTTATCAACATGTCAGAACTTGTAGGATGTTAAAAAACAATTATTGACATCAAATATCCACTTCCAACCCACTCTATTGCTAGAAACAAGTTCTTCATCCCTCATTTCCTTCTGATACAGAAGGTGACAGTCCGCCTGCACCCAGCCCTGCTCCCCATCCCTCTGCAGCTGATGGTCCACCTGCACCACCCAACCCCCTCCGCGTGAGATTAATAAAGTTTTTTTTTTACAAAAATTACAGATTTTTAAGGCTCATTATATAGGTAAACATCTGAAGGGGTTGACATGAATGTACAACTAACTGTTAGATATATTTTGGGAGTTGTCTATAAAGTGGAATAACTTCTGTAACAGGGATCAGGACAGTAAATCTGAAAATGCAAATAAAAGATGAGAAGTTCAATGTTTATTGACCAAAGTTATAAAGATTTAATTATGTAGTATTTGCAACATGACAGTTATTACAAGTATATTGATTAGGATGAACAGAAATACTGGTTTTTGATTGTTTATTACATGATGCACCAGATTATTCTACACATTCTCACTCCCGACTCGTCACATATTGACGCTTTTCTAAGGTTTTGACGCGCCGGGTACCCCCCTCGCGTCAGTCCTTGACGCCCGCGGCTTTTCCGGGTTGCGCCACCAGGGGTCTTTGGGTCGGGGGTCTGAGGTTAACATGAGGGATCAGGATTAATGGTTAAGTTTAGGTACTGGGATCAGGGGTAGGATGTCCATGGTGAATATTAGGTAATTTCAGGCTTTGGAACATGTTTACGTGAATTTCCTACATTTTCTAAAAATGGTTAATTTTAGGTACTAGGGTAAGGGACAGGATGTCTAAAGTGAACAAAAGTAATTTCAGCCTTCGAAACGGTAGTTTTTGCACATTTTCTACACTTTCTGAAAATATGACAACAGATTTCGCCCCATCTCGTCAGTAACTGACGTGACGGGGGTACCCGGCGCGTCAAAATCGGACGTAGAGGGAACCTTGGAAAAGCGTCAATATGTGACGACTTGGGAGTGAGAATGGGTTGGATTATTACATCGCCACATTTTGTAATAATTGCCACAAAATGCAATAACGTTATTACATAACGCATCGAAAACTTTTATTACATTTTGCGTCAATTATTACATAATGCGGTTTTAGCATGAGTTTATTAAATTTTGAAGCCTGATTTTATTACATTATCACATAATACGCTGTTATTACAAAATGAGGTCTTACATGGTTCTTGAGAGTCAATGACCACAGCTTGTACAACTCATGAACCAAATGCTGCTTTCCACTCAAATTGCAGTTCTAACCCTCCCCACCCCAACACACACACAAAATGCTATGCACAATTATTTGCATTTGGCACAATTTTCATGAAGAAAATCTCTTGTCTTGTTTATCATTCAAAATTCTAAATATAATTGTCTTTGCGTGGGCAAACACCTGTCATAGTTTTACAATAACAACCAGAACTTTAGCATGAAAGGTGAACTTTTTGTTTTGGAGCAGTGGAAACAGAGACAGTCAGGGGAGTGAGAGGAAGAGGATGATGAGGAGGACCGGGACAAGGAAGAGGAAGTTCAAGGCACATAATTTCTGATGAGATCCAAGACACTTTGTTTGAACATGTGATGAAAGCACAGACTTTACTGTTAATTTACAGTTTAACACTGAAACCAAACTAAATGAGATCTTCTATCTTTAGCAATTGTGTAAAAACTTCACAGCTTTCTTTTAAAATTTTTTGCAAAAAAATATGTTCTTCGTGTGAAAAAGCCTTTAAAGTCCTGCCAAAAAAGTGCCCTTGTTTCATTTTCAAAGTTTTACATATCAGTGCTTAATACAAATACTTCTGGGTGCTATCTAATGAAAAGGAGCCACGTTTTCACACACTGCTCTTGTGTTCTGACATATTTTTATATGAATACATAATGGCAGGTCATATGAAGTCACTTCCTGTTCACTTAAATGTCTTTAAGACTTGATAATAAACTGATAATTACCTTAATGTTATGATTTATTATAATACTGTACATTATTATATTATTACCTTGCAGAATCATATTCTCTATGTTGCAATAATAATTATTTAATCAGATTATTAAATGCATAACGAATTTGTTTCTAATATTTTATGGAAAACTGAGACAAACAAACTGAATGGAGCATTTGCTTCTAATGTTTATAATATTCATGTTAATTATAAACCATCAAAGTTCTGAACATTAATGCACAGTTCTTACTTCATGATTTTTTTTTAATTTTATTGGGCAAAAAATACAACAATACTGTGTGAAATATAATGACCAGCATTATTTAAAACAAGACATTTACTTCTCCTATATGTATATTTAATTGTGTTCAAGTGTGTTTTATAAGACGTGTCCCGTGTCGTCAAACTTTATATGAAGTATATTATATTTCTCATTCCTGTGGTGCATTAATAATCAGTTTTCTTTTTCTTAATTTGACACTTTCTGCAGGAAAACAAAAAAAAATCACTTGTTTCTCAAGCAACGAGAGAGGTCAGATAAAACCTGGATCAACACAGAGTTAAAAAAGTCAAAGGTGATGAAAACATTTTCAGAGAAAATAAATCAGTTACCATGATTAAAGTCTGAGCTCAACTCAGCCCCAAATTACTGAGACCTTAAACCAGCAGCTGTTAAAAATACTTCATGACAATCAAGAACTTTAAATTAAAGTAAACATTATTTGCATTGTTCTGTTGTGCTGTATTTGTATTGTTTAATCAGTTTATTTACATATTGTTTATTTGTAAATACATATAGTATATTTTTTCCTTGTAATGCAGAGATGTCAAGCTTGTTCTGAGATTTTGCTGCTCCTAGTGGTCAAAAATTGTTAGATTATAATATAGTATTATATAAAAGTGACAAAATGAAATGAACTTTTCTTGATTAGGCAAATGTTTTTTTAATCTCATTTGACCTCTGAGGTGAGCTGTTTTATTCTTCTTATTCTAAGTTGTTTTTGGGAGAGTTACATCAGCAATAATTCAAATAGTCTCACATCTTCAACAACTCCGAAAGTGTGCTTGTTCTAACAAGAGTGTAAATGCCTGAAGCTTTAAGCCAGCCACTTAAAGCTGAAGAAGCTTTTAAAATGGGAGATGAAACAACTTTCAAAACAAGAGAAGTGGCTTTTATATACACAGTCAAAATTAAATCTGATGTAAAATTTCACTACTGGAGGAACGTTTGTGCAGTGGTTATTGGGTGGGTGAGGTCATCAGTGCCGTATAGACATGAACAAAACAACCGTTCAGGCTTCCATTCAGACACTTAGTGACCATTGAGAGTTACCAGTTAACCTAACATGCATGTTTTTGGTGAGTGGGAAGAAACTAGAGTATCTGGAGAACCCCTCTCCCCAAGCCTCAAAGTTTGTATGACCCAAAGTTTTATGCTTTAAAACTTCAGCTAATTAAAACAACAAAATTAACCTTGAAATGTTGACCAGCATAAACGTTTAAATAACCTTAAAATTTCGCTTCTCCGAGGTACAATAATGTTAAAGAACACTGTTTTTCACAGTATGGCACTTGTCATCCCATCTGATCATGTTTTTTAAGAACCAGGTTTGAGAAAATCAGTGCTACTCGCAGTTTGCATGGCTGACGCGACAGAATGCCATGGGCTAAGAAGATTTAGAGCAATTTTTTGGCAAATTCCATTGAAATGTGGGAGGTTGTTTGGGTTATGTCATTACAGGTACTTGTTTCACAGCTCAGTTCCTATTTCAATAACATTTTCTTGGTTGTTTTCACCATGTATGTCTTCAACTGGCATGTTTTCCTCCACTGGGGGATTATTCGCAGGAATTCCAAGAGATGAATTCTTGCTTCTAATACTGTGGTTCCCATCCCGGGTCTCTGTAGGTTTACCCAGAACACTTCTCAGCTGTGCCCAGAAGAAAGGCTGCTGGTTAGCCTGCTGGGGCCATTCTAGGTAAGTCTTTGTGCTCAGCATCTTCTTTAGCTTGCAGTACTTGCTGGGCAGTGAGCTTGGATCAATGGGCTCCTTCACCACAAGGATGACGTCGCTGAAGGTCTTTCCCATCGCTCTTTGTTGTGCAAAGTACAGCTCGTAGTTGCACCATTCGCTGTTAACAAAGTGCCGAGAGAGGACGAAAATAACCTATTGAGAAAAGACATCAAAACATGACATTAATACAACTTTTCAAAGGGGAAGAAGTAATGTAATATGACCTAAAACAAAAAAAAAATCTGCCCACAATTTACATGCTAAGTATTTGTATGTAAATTTTACCCAAAAATATTTATACCTTACGACTGGTTTCAATGTTCTCAATGATGTTGTCAATGATCCATCGTCCTGGCATGAAGTCCCGTTCATGAATACACAGCCGATAAGGGTTCCTGTTGTTCTCCAAACAGGGTAAGAGCTGGTCTCTCACCCAGTCAGCATCTGAGTGGCTATAGGATATAAAGGCATGGTAGGTAAAAGTCTCGAAATCCCCTGCAGCTTTTTCCTTGTGGGCCCTGTATTTTGCCCTGATAATCTGATAAGTGGCTTTGGTGTACCATGGGAGGTCAAAAATATAGCAAATTAGTACAAGTACTAAAGTCACGACGGCAGTAGTTGCAACGCAGATGATGATAACAAGTCTGATGTCACATGCCACCTGACCAGGAAAGTATTTTGATATGAATGTATTGAGGAAGTTCTCTGGGTGGTAACACCTGTAGTTCCAAGGCCAGTCTGTCAGGTTAACCTTTCCTTTAGACGTTGTGTCCTGGATAAAGGCATGGAGCTCACAAGTGCAATGGTAAGGGTTGTTTCCTGCTCTAAGCTCGGACAGCTGAGGCATGTCTTGAAAAGATGCTTTGTTGATCAAACCAAACGAGTTTCCATCCAGAGTTAAATACTGCAGGGATGGACTCTCCCATTTGGATGGGATGAACTTAATTTTATTTCCACTCAGCAGAAGGTGTTTCAGGTTGGTAGCTTTCTTAAAGAATGCCATGTCCAGTTGGTCCAGGTCACAGTAGGACAGATCTAAGTAGTACATTGTTGTTGGAAGACAATTGACGGCTTCACTTACGAACTGATTGTGGTGAGCAATTACTTGTGTGACATTTTGTTTCCAAACACAGCCCTCCCTTTCTACGGTAGATCCCAGTTTGTTGTTGCTAAGATCCAACACCTGCAGGTTCCTGAACTCTTTTGTTAATAAAGACAAGTCCTTCAAGCTGGTCAGTTCATTGGTGCTCAGGTTGAAGTTGTGCAAACTCGGCATGGTGCCCCTGTAATCACAGAGTTTGTTGTAGAGGACGTCATCGTTCAGTCGGTTGTTGGAAACGTCCAGGAACTCCACACCTTCCATCTCAGTCCAGGAGTCACAAGGGACGGTGTTAAAATACATATACTGGATGGAAATCTTCTTAATTTTGTTGAACCAGGTGAAGCGCCAGTCAAACCGCAGTATATCAGGGTTGCTGATGTACCTGCAAGAAATGGAACTATTTAGTGAAAAATTAGTACTGTCTATGACAGGGGTGGGCAATCCTGGTCCTCGAGGGCCACAGTCCTGCATGTTTTACATATTTCCCTGCTCCAACACACCTGATTCAGTCACTGAATTACCTCTTCCAAGTACTGCTGTATGGAGGACCAACAATGACAAAATTAGAAATAAATGCAGAATTATATATATA